TACTGACTGGCCAGCCTGGCTTCCTTACACATTGTCACCCCAGGATATAGAAGTCTCAGTTTCTCCATCTCTGTGCTGCTCCCTCAGCTGTGCCCAAGCTGCCTGCTCCTTAGCCTAGAGGGAAACTCTTCCAGCAAGGTGAGGAGGAGGCTCTCCACCAGGGAAGCCTCAGCAGGGCAGAGACACCCTTCCTGTCTCGGTATCAGTGACTACTTTGCACAAATCTGCCAAGTCTCATTAAATCCAGTACAGCATCTCTAAGGCTCTCACAATGAAAAGACTCATGGCATTAGAATTACTTAAAAGATAGAACTCTAGATTGGGAGATGGGAAACCATTGGCTGATATAACACCACTCGTCACCAGTTTCACCCCCTCAGCCTCCTAAAGCATGCTGCTTGGTGCTGAAGTAACATGCCAAATCCCCCCATTATACCCTTAGCTTTAGAAAATGTACAAAGTGTACTTTCTGTGTGAGTTTCTCACTTTCTACTGTGGCCAGAACCCTGCATTTTGTTTAAAAGTGGGTTGGAAGCACTAGCAACAGATTGCTACCAAAGTAGCGTTTTAAGTTGCCTGAAAAAGCTGTTGCCCCCTCCTCCCAAGACATTTTCACTCACGTCCAGGCCATACAGGTACCCCAGGAGCAAACCATCCTTACTGGACAGAGGAAAGAGAGCCAGAGAAGCGCAAATTATTGTGACCAAAACGGAAACAAAATATCTCAATTATTACTGTGGAAGAAAAAGTCTACAGAAACTAGCTGAATACTTAGCTGAGAGATGAGACCAAGAAAAAACAAGGTCTGACTAGAAAGAAAAAAACCCTCCTCAGTTTTTACTCTCAGATTCCTGTTCCATATTAGCAAAAGACACAAAGGGAGAATTCCAGGGGACACCTAGCCAAATTTAGCATTTGGGCAATGTCATCAAATAGATTACCATGAGAAAGGAACTGCCCACAGCAGAAGATGAAAAGGAGCCTGAGACTCACCTCCCAAGGCCCACAGGAAAAGTGCACTGATACATAGAATTACATGATGGAAATGGCCAACCAGTCATTGATATCTGAAATCAGAGAACAGACCCACAACTGATGCAATACAGCCATTGTAGAGAAGATAAGAGCTAGCATGTCTAATTTATTATAAAGAAACATTTTTAATGAAAAAAACAGATTCTTAATTCAGAGTCAGAGAAGAATGTCCTTTTAAAAACACAAAGAAAAATAACTTGAAAAGACCAGGTGTCCTAGCTGGCTTATTGAATAGAGGTACATGCCAGCAAGCCTGACCACCTGAGTTGGATCCCTAAAGCCCACATGCTAGAAGGAGAGAGCCAGTTCTTTCCCACATGTCACAATCCACATGTGTGCACTTTGTGTATGCATGCCCCCCACATATAATAAAATATAGATGTTAAAATATAAAAATGTTTCAAACAGAGGAGACTAAACCCAATTTGGAAATGATCAAAAATTTGAATAGATATGTCTTCAAAAAAGAAATGCCATTGACTAATACATCCCTGAAACTGTGCTCAGCATCACTAATCACCAGGGACATTCAAATCAAAGCCACAAAGTTGTATCACTGAGGATGTGCTCGGCACATTGTCCTCTAGACATGGCATGGCCTTTGTCCTGTTGAACAGTGTGCAGCTGTAATTACAGGCAGGAGAGTTGTATGTAATTGAGCTCATGGGGCAGGAGAGGGGCTCACAAAGCCTCACACCCTCACTAAGAATTTATAGACAATTTACTGGGAAAGAGAGTTTTTCTTAGTGTAGCCACCCATAAGTTGCTGACAGTCCTGAAAGTAACTCCAGGTAAGCTCATTGGGTGAAATCATTTTAGTCTCTTTCATTGATGCCCTATATGGGGTGAGTGTCTCTTTTTCTTTCTTTCTTTCTTTCTTTCTTTCTCTCTCTCTCTCTCTCTCTCTCTCTCTCTCTCTCTCCCTCCCTCCCTCCCTCCCTCCCTCCCTTCCTTTCTTCCTTTCTTTCTTTCTTTCTTTCTTTCTTTCTTTCTTTCTTTCCTTCTTTTTCTTGAATTGCACACAGCTATTTAAAAAGCAAGAAAGGGTGAGGAGCTGACTCAGCAATCAGAACACTGGCGATGCATACATGAGGGATCCCCTTCAGATTCCCAGATCCCATGTGAAAGCCAATCAAGCTCGATGGCCACCAGATAGCAGAGTAAAAGATGGATGACAAGATGTGACAGTTTAGCAGAGCATAGAGTCACAAATTGAAACTCTGGTGGGCACCAGTGCCGAGGCAGGAAAAGCTGCATGGTAGTTGACGAATTCCTAAAGGCTCAGAGTAGGAAACTCTGAAATTTGAAAATTCCAGGAGGTCCTAGACATGTGGGAACTGTATTTTGAGATTTGTCTCCCAAAAGGAGATTTGTATCCCAAAATGTCAGGCTCTCACAGAAGATATTGTAGAATTATTATCCCTTTGAACCTCTGGCAGAAAACAGACACACACACACACACACACACACACACACACACACACACACACACACACACACTGAAATAAACAAGAATAACTAACACACAGAAGAGTTACTAAAATACACAGTGTGCTGCTAACACCATACTTACAGCAGTTTCTTTTTCCTGTTACATCATGTCTAGCTAGCAAGAAAAAAATTACAAGACATGCTGAATAGCAAAATGCACAGTGAGAAGGGGAGTAAGCAACAGACCCATATGTGTAGGGACGTAAAGATTAGCAGGTCAGGTTCTAATAGCACGAATGGCCAACATGAACTTCTTCAAGGTATGGGGATAGTATCTAGCCCAACGGCTGTAACAGTCATGTACATGGCGTTTGTTAAGTATGTGCCTAACTGAAACATGGTTAAGTAAAGAATTTCTGAACTTGAAGGTATCTCAATAGAAACCTCTACAGTCAGAAAGCAAAAAGAGCCAGGAATAAACATCATCTGAAGACCTTAGGGCTCTACAAACTTGTGACTTGTGTAACAGGAATATTGTAGGGAGAGGAAATAGCAGAAAGCACTCTAAAAGATAATGACTAAACTCATGTCAGACACCTCAGAAGATACCACCGAGGACTAACACCTCCCTAAAATAGTTAAGCATGCATGTCCAAACTACGAAGTCAAAGTAATGAAATCCTGAAAGACAAGGAGAAAAAACACATACCCTACTTACAGAGAATGGAAGGCAAGAATTCCTTCCAACTTCTCAGAATTCACACAAACAGGAAGAGAGAAGATGTGAGATATTTTGTGTGGAGGAGGAAAAAGGAAAGAAAAAAGAAAAAGAAAAACCACCAACCTGGAATTCTCTGTCCTGTGGGATTGTCCTTCCAAGAGTAAAGAAAATAAAGGCTCTCCAGACAGAAGCAGCTGGGGAAAAGGCATTGTTAATACCTGTCTTTGCAAGAACTGTGCTCCGTTCTTCTGACAGAAAACCCTGAATCAGAAACTAAAATCTGACTAAAGATTGCAAACAACTCAGATACCTATCTGTAAAAGAAATAATGTCTGTATATGTATACACTGGAAAATTAGCAAAGATAAGGCCAACATATATGAAATTTATAAACATGAGGTTGAATAAATGAATTAAAACTAGGAGGTTTGCTGTGTTACATAAAATCAGTTCACCAGCGGCCCCTTAGTCATGAAGAGACGGTGAGCACTGGGAGGAGACAGAGAAAGAACTACCATTGTGAGGTGCAGGCAGGCTGTGCACGTCCCGTCCTCCCCTGCCTCACTGTTTGCTGTAAAATGACTTGCTATGTGCGTGTTTATATTTGACATGCTTCACTATATGTGTGTTTGTTCAACTTAAAATGTTTAAAGATAAGGCCAGGACTCGTGCCGATCTGACATCCTAAGTTCATAGTGGAAGGAGCGAATTAACTCTCACAAGTGGTCGCTCATTTCCAGATGTGCACCATGGCACGAACATGTACACACACACACATTAAACAAATTTCCAAATCCAGTAAAAAATTACGAGATGGCTGGAAAAATTGCTCAGTGGTTAAGAGCACTGGTTTCTCTTTAAGGGGACCTAAGTTTGATCCCCAGCACCCACATAATGGCTCAAAACTGTCTGTAATTCCAGTCTCAGGGGGAGCCAACACCCTCTTCTTACTTCTGCATACACATGGTGCACGGACCCACATGCAGGCACAACACTCATGCACATGAAATAAAAAATTTTAAAAAAATCTATTGCTTCAGTTTTCATTTTTCTGTTCTGTGATCTTTTAATATTCTTAAGGATCCCCATTTATATTACTGTTAACAGATTGTACATAACTATTCTGACTTTTCTGATATCCTATAGAGATTATTTTCACGTTTGAATAATGACCACGTAGTAAATAGTGTTTGACTTAAAATGGTTTCAGAGATGCTCATTTTCATCCACAGAAGTATTTGGATAGAGTTCCTGTTTTTCTGATGGAGCTGGTTTAATGCTTGTTGCACTTTGACACTTTACAATGAAGTTAAGAGATACTGCTTTCTAATATAACTGATCTAATCCATTGGGAATACATTTGGCTCTGTTAAAAATTAATCTGACCATTATCATTAAGAATAGCAGAGCCTTTCAAAAGAGAACTGTCTCCAAACCTAATCAATAAAAGAAATGGTGACAGCAATGTCCCTCTCGTGTGGCCCTCAAAGTCAAATCACTGTAACTGCCACAATGCAGTACTGGTTCCTGCTGCAGAAATCCTTCAAGGGATGGTTAATTACTCTCACTGGCTAGGAAGAGTTAAAGAAAGCCATTCCTCCTCCTGGCAATTAGCCCCAATGCCTCCACAGAGTGAGCATAGGTTCTACCTAGAGTAGTCATGGGGTAAGAATACAGTCAGCTTTAGTCTGGTCTGACCAGGTCTCTAGTGGTGTTGCAAGCCTGGGAGCTGTTGGCAGAGGCTAGGAAGAAGAGCAGACACACAGCTACTCCTGAAGAAATTCTCTCATCCAAGAATGTTTCTTTCTCATAGGTCGTCCACGCCTTTCTGCTGTTCCCAACCATCGAGCGAATGTCTGAATCGCCCAACGGCAGGTTTGCCACTCCATTTTTGTGCCGGTTTCGATACATGCTCTACGCTATCAGCTACTTACTTCTTAAGCCGTGTCCTGAAATAATAAAGTCCTTCATAATTCAAACAGCCCTGGGAAAAATGAGCTTTGAGACTGAAGTTCCTGTAAGGGACATTCTTCAGCCATTCTGTCTTGGTAAGCGTGATTTTTTTTAAAGGTGTGTCTTTGTAGTATAAGGAAATGTTTACAGAATAGTCTCAGACAGTGCATGAAGATCAGGAAGCTAGCTCTTCAACTCTTTCTACCCCAAAGCTTAATCTAAGAACAGAACTTGTGACTCATTTGTGACTTGTGACTCAGGGAGCTTGTATGAAAACTGGAGAGAAAAACTTTATGGTGCTTTAGTGTTCTCCTCTGCTCCTCATCCTCCACTGTGGCTACGGTATGGCGAGATGTGTCCCGGAGAGAACACAGCATGTACAGAGTCCTCCCAGGAATCCAGGGTGCCCTGAAGTTCAGTGTCTGCGAAAACAGCCTCATAGAGTCAGCAGGTTACAACCTTGATGCTCATCTTTTAAGTCAGTTTAGAAGAGTTTAAATTACAAAGAGAGAAAATAACCACCATGCTAATATATTTCGGTACTGGGTGCTTTGCTATGTGTTATTTTCTGAGTATACCAGGGGCTAATCTGTATTTTGGGATAATAATTACTTGCTGGTATTTACAAATGACTTTAATTTTTTTTCTTTTGTATATGGGTGTTTTGCCTGCATGTATGTCTGAACTACACTGCCTGGTGCCCATAAAGGCCAGAAGAGGTCATCAGATCTAGAATGAGAAACATAAGAGGACATTTTTGTTTCTCTGTTTGTGTAAAGTCTAAGGACAGTGATCAATGACAGCTGTATGTTTAGTGAGTGTATAGTACATATATGAGGACTTCATTTTCTGTCTAAGCAAGAGCTTATGTAAAGGCATTTTCTAGTCATTTCTACACAAGAGTTATGACTAACTTCTTAGAGAACTAGGCCCCAGAAGTCACAAGTCAGACCGGTTCTTCCCTGCAGTTGTAACTGATCTGCCTCTCACCACGTCTTCCAGCAGCCTCTGGTGTATTCAAAGGAAGCAAGACAGTTTAACCACAGTACATAGACCCCTTCTCAACAAAGGCAACCAGAGCCTTCCAGCCACATTGTTGCAGGCTTTCTCCACAGCCATAGTAGACTCACCACCTTCAAAATAGACCTGAAAATCTAGAGTGCGCATGACCCTCTTGCTGCCTGTTTCATCTGGTCTTCCGATTCCTCGGCTCCAGATCTCCATTTCCAATATCCAAGTGGTCAGTACTTCAGTTTTTTTCCCAGTCTGTATAACTTTGGTTGCAGGGAAAGGAGGCAAGAACTACTTCTCATTCTCTTGGAATCCTCCACTCATGACTGCTTGGATATTTAGTTCAACCTAGTAACCCTGAGGTGATCATTAGCCTTGTGTCTCAGACATCCTAAGCAGCACAACCCCTTTCTCCTCTGGCTCGCCAGTGCACACTGCCTCCTCTTGCAACAATCATTTCATAGATAAACTACCTCTGTCCCGCCACCTGCTCATCCCTTTGGTGACTTCCTAAAGGGCAATGCTCAGAAGTGATGGCCTCAGGCTGGTTAGTGAGAGTGATTATTGAGCCCCAACCACACCTTAGGGCGTGTAGGTAAAGGTAACCAGTATTCATAGCAGCCGTCCCAGTGCTGTGGTTGTCAGGATACTTGGGAAGAAGGGCAGGTCAGAACTCATTCCCGGTCCTGCTTTTGGTCCAGCTCCTCATTCCCTGCAGGCCTGCTTCGAGCTCTGGTTGCCCTGCAGAAAATGACCTTTAACTTGCTGTTTGACTTGCAGGCTGCCTTGCAGTGTTTGCGAATTATGTAATGTCTGTGCGCCAGGAGAAATCTTACAGAAACAAATGGAGGAAGTTTGCTAGACCAAGTAGTAGACTATAAATCCAGCCCTGTCTAGATAGGGCAGTGTCCTTTAGTTTGTGCACACATTTTTGTTGATTTCGGCTCTGAAAACTTCAAAAACTGAAATGTTAAAGTGTTTCAAGTGCTGCTACCCTTTGGCAGACATAGCATCCCAAGCTCTCTACTCCATCTTCCCTCCAGCATGCTGAGTTCTGTGGCATTCGAGTTCTCCAATGGAGGGAGAGAAATGTCACTTCCCATCTAGAGAGTGGCTCTAACTCAGTTAGCATATAGTATAAACATTACCTCTGCATTTATCAGGGTAATTAGATTGTAACTAGATTGTCTGAAATGTTATTTTTAAAGACTATACGTGGATTTCCCCCCTTAATTCAACTCCAGAATGTTTGCTACTACGTATTTTCCCTGCAGTAGATGTGCTTCTGTCTCATGAGAAGTAGGCTCCCACTCAGACAGCTAAATTAGATTTTCTGATCAAAGCTAAAAGAAAATATATTTTAACTCAACAGTATCACAGGTCAAACGGTTAACTGTTGAAAATGTTTGAAGGTCTTTTTGTTAGGCTGAACTGATGTTTTAATTCCTTTCCATTACCTAACAAGGGAAACACAGCCCAAGACATGAGGAGCTCCTACCAGGTTATGGCACTTTGTCAAATAATTCTGTGAAAGGGACTTCTATAATCTTTCCCCTTCCTTAATCAATATGGAAATGACTCTTTAAACTGTTTAACGAGCTAATGATTATGTATGTATATATGTATATGCTTATATACATATATATATATGTGTAATGTTTAGCAAGCTTCACTACAGTTCACAGATTTCTTCTCAGAATATTTTCATTTAGTCCTAGAATAATTTTTTTTTCTTTACTTTGAAGAAACCAGATAGCCATGTAATCTACTCTGTCAACTCAGATGCACAGGTTTCATCTATTCATAAAATCCACCTGAGGACTTAGTGACCGGAGGACACTCAGCCTAAAATCCAGAAAGAAAAGAGCAGAAAGAGTTTGTGCTATATTTAGGGCCAAGACTGATCTTTGGTCCTAGGAATATATTACTGTTTTTCTGAATATTTTAACTTATGTTTTCAAATTATGTTCTAGTCTAAAATGTGGTGGTTGTAATAATCATTAAGCTGCCGACCTCTGGTTACATTCTTCACTGTAGTAAACTCACTGTTACTTAGATAGGCTTGAGTGTGCATCTGCACATTAAATGGATGTTCATAATGACGGGGCAGGGAGCCCTCTCAGTGCGGTGGGTCTGTCTCATAGGTAATTTACTGGAGTCCTGGCTTATAAAGAAACATGATGAAGTGAAGAAGCAAGAAACGTTTTCCTAAATTATGGAGGAATTTTAGCATAGGTGAATTTCCTTTCTAGGTCTAGTTACTGTGTTGTTATACACCACATTTTGCAACACTGACAAACATGGAAAACAATGCAACCAAGGAAGGTTAGATAAGGCCCCTACTAAATGTCTTTGGGTTTCTGTGTGCGTCTAATTCTGTATAGTCTTTTCTTGGGGCCTCCTGGTTTATGCTGTCGTGTACCACAGTTCTTTCTGTGTTGGACCTCTGTTCTAACTGAAGCTCTTGTCTCCAGGACCCATCAGTCTCCCAGAGTACCTTCTGCTCTGCTTTGCTGCTGTGCAGCCTTGCCACACCCTGCAAATCCTGCCACTCCTAGAAATAATCAGAACCGGTGCAGGAAGGAGCCGTTCTTAGATAGGCTCTTTGTTGTCCGTGACACTTGTGCCTCCACTCAGGGAAACCTCCAATGAATATAAATACAGAATGATGCCTCCCTCCTCCCCTGCTAGAGTTAAGCACCACATCCTCTTTGCTCTGACCAAAAATACCCAGAAAATTCGGAGGTTCCAGTTTCATCTTTTTATCTGTTGGAATTGAGATGAGCTGTAGTTAACAGAAAGTTCAGTTCCAGTGGCCACAGCAGGTAGTAAGCTGTTTTTCTAGTGCACCAAGAAAGAACTGCAAATACTCTTTGGAGAAATGACCAGCACTCTGTCCCCACAGCTGGCAGGGATGTTGGTACTTCCCTTCTGGCATTCTCCCTCTGTTATCCTTAGCAGGTTTCTCTTGTATTCCGAATTCCATGGCCATAAGACAGCACCTTCAATCTCCTCTCTACCATTGACAGAAAGAAGAGCAAAGAATAGAATTAAAGCAAAAGACTGACTCCTGGGTAGAAAGAATTGTGCTTCCCATGGTCCCCTCTTGTAGATTAGAGGCTGCATTCCTCCATGTGAAGAATCTGAAGTCGCTGATTTTAACTTGGAAAATCTCCGTAGAATTCTTCAAGGGAAATGAGGGCCTGCCTGTTGGTCATCAGGTGGTTACTTCATGTCTGCCACATCCCTACCCTAAGCTGATCCTGAGACTCGTTGTTCATGGAGCCAACCACTTACCTAACACCTAACTAAACCAACTAACACTACTCCCTGAGACCTCAGCTGATTTGTCCTAGCATGACAACCTCAGACTTGGGCAGCTGTGTATCTCATCATTTCTAGCCCTCTTGCAAACTTGTAGATGCATCTGTCCATAACAGAGCCCCTTTGTACCCATGATTACAATAGTGTATATTTTAAAGAGTTAAAAATATTCATGTTTACTCTTTGATTCTGTTAGTGCTAATAAGCCCCAGTCACCCTCCTCCTAAGGAGGAGGTGAGCATAGGAACTCTTTTCTGCCCAACCAAGTCTTGTGATAAAACACTAGAGAAATTCTCCCTTGTAAACATGGCTAATTTTGAATATTTAGAATCTATTAGCCCTTTAAAGATCCTCAGAGTAAGTAGAAGTAGTACACCCAGTCAGAAGAGACTGACAGTCATGTTGGTAAAAGGTGGTAATGACCGACTGTGGCTTTTGTTTGTTTGGAGGGGGGTGGACAAAAGGGACTGGCAAGTAGTCGAGGCTAGCCTCAAACTCATTCTACCTACAGCAGTGTGCTCAGTGCTAGAATTATAGTTGTGTGCCACCACACTGGCCTGGAAGGCTCCCATTCTGCACTGCAGTATATATGCCCACATACAGTAAATGGTCTGTCTCCACAGTTCACCTACCCTGGTTAACCTATGTCTACCTTCAGTTATTCCTTTTGCTTCCGTACCAACAATCTTTATCCTCCAGACTGATTGCAAAACCAAACAATTCTGGAACATTTTACTGTAAATCCTAGTTGCAGCAGCAGACCACACATACCTCCAAAGAGCTGCGTGCATTCTATTTCAGAAAGCTCTTTGGGTATCTCTTTAGAACCTTCCATTTTTTTTATTCAGTGTGCTTTTTCTTCCCTTGCCTCATCTCTGGGTGTTATGAGTCAATGACTGCTATCAAGAGAAACACTTAGACTTCTCTGTGATTATTCATCACTCTTGTCCACCTGCTTAGCTCATCAGTATGCCTCAGCCTCCATCTTTGGCCTCCATTGTGATGTCATATCTGGACCGCTTTACATTAAACAGGCTTTTCCTCCCCACAACCTCCAAACATACCTAGCCAAGCATCTGTCTCCCTCAGCCCTTCTCATTTTTGTCACTTAGCCCTTCTTTCCTTTATATACTTGCTATAAGTAAGACACTGTGTAGAACACTGGATGAGACACGGCCCCTGCCTCTAAGTTAACGGGGAAGCAGGAGAAACAGCTGTGGACAGTTCAGTGCATCCCAGTGCCTGCTGTTAGAAGGAAAGATACAGTACATAAGTGATGCTCAGAGGAAATAAGACCTAGATCAGTTACAGAGGAGCAGATTACTTGATATTGGTCCTGAGAGTGACAGGATGGTTCGAAGATCGCCGTGTGTATGCATGGGAACAGGCCACGGGTTGTACAGAATGAGGCTTTTGTTGCAGACTAGGAGCACTTGGAAAACCAAGTGACACTGGGCTGTACGGTGAATGCCCTCTTGGTCCTTGGCCCTCAGCCCTCTCTCAGCTGCCCCGAACCCTTTAGCCTCTCTCCTGTACATCCCATGGTGACCCTTGAAGGTTAAACATTGCAGAAGGTGGTGGTAGAAAAGAAAGAGAGCACTGGTTTCCCTGGGAGGCTTTAACAAGGGCATTGAGGCTTTTGATGAAACCCGAGTAAACAAGCAATATTTTCCCAGGTCACCTTCCCTTCATGCTCTCATTGCCCTCCTCTTGTACTGAGTACTTCCTTCTGTACAGTGCTTGAAACTCAGCCTTGTGTGGGCGGTCATGGCCAAGAGCACTGTGTTTTCCACTGAAGAAATTACACTTCTGTTTGGTTGTATTATTTCTGACCACTGTACTGCATGGGAGACATTGCTGAGGAATAACAAAGATGGTGTTCTCAGCGTGACTACTGCAAAAGAAACAGGGAGTCTTGTCTAAAAGAAACAAAAAAAATACACTTAGATCGAAAATGACAAGGAAAGAAAGTAAGAAGGGAAATAGGTTGGAGTATATTCCCAAATGAAAATTTGATTTTCAGAAATATGAGCTTATCAAAGTATTTGAATTTTTTTTCCCTATTCAAGTCTGTACTCGTTTTGATGTTTGGTCATCTACCTCTTTTTTGTTGGTTTCTAGAAGTTTCAAAATATTTCCAGATGCTGATAGATTTGCCGTATGGTGCAAACCCATTCTGGAGATGTTCTCCTAATGCCCAGAATGTGCAGCTTCTCTCTGAAGACCCTGATGGGCAGCCATTGGGCTCCCCATCCTCCTGTGTAATGTGGCCACTGCGAACCTAGCCACGGCTCAGATTCTGACTTCTTGACCTCGAGTTCCAAAGACCGCTCTCAGTCCCGTCCATACTGCGCTGCACATTAAGAGGCTTTCCCCTAGAATGGCAGAAACAGTCTGGTATCTAGTTCAGGCACTGTTCCTGCAGTCCTTCAGAGGGTTCTTTCCCTGGATTCTGGCTGTTCGTCACATGACTGTGCTGGTCAATACTCAGGTAAAGCTCAAGGGCAACCCTTTGTAACTCTCTGGAGCTTTAGGTTACTATGGCTCTGTCCTTTCCACTCCTCTGCTCTACCAAAGCCACCATATCCACCTACCCAGACACACCTGCCCTTGATGCAGAGAGAAGCTGGAGTTTGTTTCAGTCAGACATGGTCAACTAACATTGAGAACAGTTTATCACTTACAGCTCCAAGTAGTGGGATACATGTCACATCACACAAGACCACAAATGGAGGCACCCTGTTAGGTTAGGAAGCAGAAGGGACAGATGACCCAAAGCCTGTGTTGTAGATTTCGTGGAAGGATGAGATAAGGGAGACTGGCTGTTTGAAATTCTAAAGTCTCTGGGTGCTCTCTTGTTGACTGGTATCTGGCCCTGGGGTGATTTCAGATGGAATAAGGGGATGATGCTGGGTTGCTCTGTCAAAGTTGTTCAAAAGTAAATACCTAGGGGTTGAGACCAGTGGGTTAGCTTGCATGGGAATAACGCATTCTCAGAAGAGTCTCTGTCTCTGACCTACAAAGTATTAGTAACCAGGAATAGGAGCTTTGATATCCTCCACCTTGATAACACTCCAGAAAGGCCGGCTGCAAATGTGTGTTGACTGATAAGCTCTCAAGTGGGCTAAGAGAAGGCCTAGCTAATACACAGCAGCCATGGAGGGCCCTTCCAAGGTTTCACATGTGTGGCTTGAATTCTGCTGTTTTGTAGCACTAAATGTGTGACTTGCTGCCTTGTATTTGGTATTTGTTAATAAAATCTTGTAGCCAAAAAAAATCTAAACTTTAGCCAGTGTTACTAAAAACTATTTCTGAATTAAATTTGTAAAACAGTGTCCAAAAAGGTCTTCCTCGTTAAATCTGAAGTGTGTCATGTTTCTAGATGTTTCCAGAGACAGAAAGTATAATCTCTTAATGAAGACTTCTGAATTGTAAAAGTAGCAGCCAGTGTGTTTAAATTGCTTATTTCCAAAACAAAGTATTGGGAAGATCACAAGTAGATTTTTATTTCAAATGGAAATAACTTCACATAGCTCTTCCACTTCTAAGACTAATACTAAGGACCTCATTTGCCCTCTTGCCTAAAACAACTGAAAAAAAAAAAAACAAATAAAATGTGAAAACAAAGGTTTTAAGACACTGGATGTTGGACAGTGAAGAGCAGAGATTCTGAGAAGAGAGAAAGCAGAGAGTTTACAGTTATCTCCTGCTGGATGTTTCCCAGGCTGCTGTGCAGGGAGGGAGACCCAAGTGGAGCTCTTCTCAATGGGACAGAGGGCGCTGCGCATGGCCTTCTTCTCTGTGATGCATTGGTTTCTGAGAGTCTTGCTGGCCAGGGTAGGCTGCCCCTCCTGGGGTTAGCCAAACTGCAGACATGGCCCTCTGTAAACACACCTTGCCTTTGCAAGCCTGCCAGCTAGCTCATGAGCCTCTTCTCCACACACCCGTATCTAATGTCAGATAGCACTTGGCAGCTACAAAAATGAAGCATGTGAATTTGCTAAAATTAATTGTTTCTTCTGTATATTCTAAGTGTTTAACTGTTTGTTGTTGTTGTTGTTGTTGTTTTTAATAAAGCTAATGCTGCCTACCTCGGGGGCCAAGAAATGATCCGTATAGTGAAGAGAGATGATGACATCATAAAGGAACATTTACCTAAGGTAACCATTTTGGGGCTGTCATTTGAGGCATGTCAGTTGATGGCTAGAAAAACTTCCTGAGGACACAAGGCTAGAATTGGCTAAGAACTGAATTTAAGATGCCGAACTTACAAATTGAGCCCAAGTTCCTCTGTTACCCTTGAGTTACATGGCATAAGTAAGCTGGTTACAGCTACATAAGTATATTTTGCCACTTGTTTAGTTGAATTTATTTTTTAAATCACTACTTTCCTGTTTTAACAATGTATTATGCTAAGAAGACTCAATAGTGTCTGTAAAATAAATGAGTTATTTTGAAATATAATAATTATGTCAGTGGAGAAGAGCTAACCCTGCATGTGACACTTAGCCTGTCTTTCTCACTCTCCAACAGGTAAGGCTATCTACTTGTCACATAAAAGGCAGTTTTCTGGGCTGGAGAGCTGGCCCAGTGGTTAAGAGCACTAACTGTGCTTCCAGAGGTCCCAGGTTCAATTCCCAGCAGCCACATCTTTAACTCCAGTTTCAGGGAATCTGATGTCCTCTTCAGGCCTCCTTGATCACCAGACACTAGTGCATAGACATACATGTAGACAAAGCACCCCTACATCATATTCATAAAATAAAATAATAAATTTTAAAACAGCAGCTTTCTGAGATATCAGGTATGTGGAATCTGCAAACGCTAGACTCAACACACAAATTCATTTGGAAGCACAAGTCTCTGAAGTTGTAAAGCCACTGTGGTTTGGAATGTCCCCAAACATCTTAGTATTTAGATAGCCATGGCACTTCTGGGACATCATCTGTCTGCATCATCCTGAAGAGAGTAGAGCTGCACTGTTTTTTGTTTTTAAAGATTTGTTTTATGTGCATTGGTGTTTTACTTGGATGTATGTCTGTGTCTAAGGTGCCAGATCCCCTTGAACTAGAGTTACAGATAGTTGTAAGCTGACCTGTAGGTGCTGGGAATTGGACCCAGGTTCTCTGAAAGAGCAGCGAGTGCTCTTAACCACTGAGCCATCTCTCCACCTCAAGTTTATGCTATTTCTGCTCTGTGGCTTTGGTTCCATCAAACCCAGAGCCTTGCACATGCTAAGGGCACACGACCTGCTGCTGAACTTCGTCCACAGCCCAGAACTGCGTGGTTAAAATCCCACACCCACCCAAGTATTACATGTAGTTAGTCTGAATTAAGGTGTTTCACAAGTGTAAATGCAAATTAATTTTCCAAACATTAGTACTTGGTGCTCAGGATATAGATCAGTGGTAGAGAGCTTGCCTGGTGTTGTACAAAGCCTGAGTTCAACCCTGCCACAGGCAGGAAAACAGTATCTTAAAAGGAGAACATTTTGTTAATACATTGATGACATATTGACATATCTTAGACGTATTGTTGTAAAATGTTTAAAATACATCTAAGGTAATTTGACTCATTCCTTCATACTCTTTTGAACATGGTTACTAAAGTTTTCTTAAAGCCTTATGCTTTTTAAGACAGCACTGACCTAGGACTTTACACTTGGTGTGGAACACTGACATCTGCTGGGTACAGAATGATCCTGATGGACAACTTACTCTGATAGAGCCTGCAGGTCAAATCCCAGATCGCCACAGCACTGAGCATCTCTTCTTAAGCTGTGAAACATTAGATGGAAGCTTGTCCACAAGGCTAATTCATAGTTCTGTAACCTCCCAATACAATGTTCTGAAAGCAGGTATTATGTGTGTTGCTTTAAAAAGATTTTATAATATTAAAAATATTCCCTCTGACAAGACCTTGGAAGATGCCATATCTGCTTGGTTTGCACCCATGGCAGTCTTTATGTTTCTTAGGCAGCAACTGTCTAGAGATAGAAATTTTGAATGAGGAGGAAGCTGTTACTAGCTAGACGGAGAAAATTGGGCAAGGAGGACCTGCTCTCCAGGGCTCTCATATACTTCCAGCATTGAGGCTATGAAATTACCAGAAAAAGAAGCGTTTTATTTGTAGTTAAATTATGACTGAGTCTGTTTCCAAAATGCATTTTAGTTCTCCAGGTTGGAAGTTTGTAAAAACAACTCAACTACTTTATAGTAAGATTGGCAGATGCTCGCTTCCAAAATTCACACTTGGGAAATGGCGAGGCCTGTCATGTTAGAGCCGGTCCTACCACCTGGGGAAGCCAGCTGCTATAAAATACTACTCATTCTGGATCCTGTTTGTGTGTTTGCACTCAGAAAGAGGTCAAGGAAAGGTGCTAACTTATTCCTGTGCTGAGTTAAACCCATATGCACACGTAATCATTCCCAGATAGAGGTCTGCTCGTGGCAACTGTGGCAGGCCTGGAAGTTTCCTGAGACTTTCTTGAGAGAAACCTGGGAATATTCTGGTAGAGAGTCAACATTTCAAGGTTAGTATTAACACAGGCTCAGGAATAAGCTGTCCAACTCAGGGGAATAATTGTGTCCCTATGACGATAACATTGAATGCACTGGTAGAATTTAAAGCAGGTGGTGTGTTGTTCCGCCTGGTGGTATGCAGCTCCCTTGCTGTCACTTGGGAACTCTTCACAGCCAGTCACTGAATGCCTTCTACCAGCCAAACAGCAGCACTCTACTCAGATAGGTGTGTCCCGCTCCCTTGGCATTCCTAAGCGAAGTGAAGTACAGACACAGACACAAGACTGCTTCATGTTACATAGTGAAAAAGGAGGAGACATGCTTAATGTTGATAAAGGTGGCTCAGCATAACGTGTCCCTGTAGCTTAGGAAAGTAAGGGAACTTAGCAGGGCACATCCTTCTAGGAGGTGGCTATTGTCTCCTCGCTTCCAAGGATCATTTAGTCAAAGCTGAAAGCCCCATTCCTGAGACTGCAGACACCTCTACTTTATATGCTATGTTCAAGGATGCCCTTGTCTTTATTTCCTCCTAAGCAGAAGAACTCAGAACCTTCTTAGTCATACTGCCCAGTGTGAAGTTTTTGAACCAGTGTTGATGCTAAAATCTTCTGCATTTTTCACTTTGTTCAACTCAAAAGTTACAAACAGTATTTTTGTACCATCTAGCCAAGAAGCTACTTAAAACTATTCTAAAAATAGTCTTGCTACCACATCATGCCGAAAGCTTCCTGGATCCAACTTCCACCCTGATTGGCAGGTGTTGGATTGAAAGTCACATTCAGGTTTTCTGCCACTGATTTCCATTGTTGACATACAGAGAGGATTTAATATTCTTTAGGGAAACTGACCAATTTTAACTCTGCAAAGTCTAGGCCAACTGTCTTCCTTGTAAGGTCTGGAGATTTTATGCCCAGTATTGGACAACTGTATTGATTTACATTCTCCGATAGTAGATAACTGATCTCTTTCCAAAAGAAAATACAACATCATAGTTGTGTCCAGAAGGATGTAGCAGCCAGGTGACATCAGAGGTTACATGTCTCTTCACCTAGCTAAATCCTGCTTTTCCTTTAACTTGGCTTGCAGTGTCCCCTCCAGGAAGTTTCCCCAGCTGCAGTCCTGCAGGCCTCTGCCTTGGCTTGCTGGCTCCCTGTTTAAAGTTCTATCACATTTGTCACACACAGTATGTAGATGAACAGCCTTCCTCTCACCTCACCCCAAAGGAAGGAACCACTCTTGTCATCTGAGGACGTAGCACAGCTCACAGCCTCTGGATAGTCAAGTCAGTGTCTCTAGGTATCTGAGTGAAGAGACAGGTCCAACAGGAAGCTTTCATAGAGAATAGTGTATTGAAATACAGTTAGCAAAATGTTTTAAAAACTAATTTGTGATATAGTATTATGTGCATCTTCATTAACACATTGAATAGTAAGAGGTGATAATGGATGTCGGAGGTGGCTTAGTGTTTCACGCTGCTCTGGCAGAGGACCCAAGTTCAGTTTGTGCACCCACATCGGGCAACTCACAACCACTGTAGTTCCAGCGTCGGGGATCTGATGCCTTGGGCCTCTATGGGCATGGCATCTATGTTCCTATGAATAGACACAGCTCATATACATATAATTAAAAATTAAATAAAGTTAAAGATATATAACAATGAAGGTTACTACTGTGAGTTTATAGTAATGAGTGTAATTAATTCATCTTTTAGTCATCTATTTAGTTTACTACAATTTCAATATATATGTATTAATAACAGTGGCTGATTGCCTGTATTTATAATTGAAAGAAATATTGGGGTAAATAACAAGTTTATATTCCCAAACACTGGATTTATTTGGGCCTATAGACTCCAAGGTAGCCCTACGTTAGAAAAAGAGAGGCTGGCATACATGATGTCTGGCTTGGACACTAATTAAGTCATAAGCAAGGTGACAACATCTAGAACAGTGATTCTCAACCTGTGGGTTGTGACCCCTTTGGAGGTTGAAATGCCTTTTCACAGGAATTGTCTGAGACTATCAGAAAACACAGATATTTACATTTTGATTCATAACAGCAAAATTATAGTTATGAAATAGCAAAAATAAATTTATAGTTGGGGTCACCATGACATAAGGGACTGTATTAAAGGGTCACAGCATTAGGAAGGTTAAACCACTAACCACCAACCTAGAGTGATATTGCAAATATTTGACAACCACATGATCTAGCCACTGACCAATCAGAACACAAAGCAGCTGTCGACAGCCCATTCAGATATCCATCCCAGTATCAGTTATCCCTAAAACTGTGACAAGATTACCCCATGACAGGGATCATTTGGGGAAAGTGTTGGAAGAATATTGTAAAACAGTTACGTTTTAGGTGGCATGTCTGCTCATAGGCCTCTGGAAGAATGGAAGCCGTGGTCTTGGGGATGAAAAGATTGGAGAGGAAGACTCAGAGGCACTTAGTGGGAGAGGGATGGCAGACAGGCTGAAGGACCTGAGATCACTACCCTTGGTCTGGATTTGGTGGTAAGGGAGGACTGGGAATTACTCAGGCTCTGGGAAGTGCTTGACATTTGTGTATGAGATACTTGTGGACTATCCAAGTGAATACATGCCCAGGTGTATGCTGTCTACAAAACATAAAAAGCGGAGGCTGGGCTCCAGTTTGGTTGTGACATGATAGGCCTATAGCTGAAGCTGTGAGCATACACAGTGGCTGCTTATGGAAGTCTGCAATATAAAGAAGGAAACCATCTGGAGATTGATGTCTGGCCATTGCAAGTTAAAGGTTAGGGGAAAGGAGCCAGTGAATACGAGAAGAAAGGCAGGGAGGGGTGCAAGGTGAGCTCTAGAACAGAGTAAGCCAAGGGAGGAAAATCACCTGTGTGGTGACTTGAAGCTATGACCCAGATCTGTGTGGGAGCCTCCAGGGTCTGCTGTGCTTTTCCGGGCACCTGGTGTATCTGAAGTAACAAGAAGGCCAGTGCTCCTTTATTCTGTCATTGTTCTAAACTATAAGGGGATCCATGTCTCCTTCATAGGAAAGTGAACTCATGTTTGCTTATAAACTTGAAGTTTTCATTTAAAACTCACTTAGGAGGGAAATTCTAAACTGCCGTGACCATCCTTGGCCCAAGCTTATGGAAACAGCTGCTGTGTGCTACTTCCAGGCTGAATCCAAGTATCACTCTGGGCCCACAGGACTCTTCAGTTGTTCTCAAAGAGAGCACAATGGTTGCAGCCTTTGGGAGGAGGCAGGCAGCTGTGGCAGGGCAAGGTGCTACTGCCCCTGCCCTAGGCCAGGCTACCACACAGCCTAAAGGAGGCAAAGTCCTCCGAGGTGGGAGCTTCTGCCCTGGCTCTGTCCCCACCCTCTGCTTAGCCTGCTGTAGCCAGAGGTGTGTGCTGCTTGTGGGAACAGCCCTAGTACAGTGCCGACATTTGCACAATGGCCATGCAAATCCTTCTGACATGCACACGTCCCGCTTGGTGGAGCATAGGAAAGTGCTCCCTGGACCAGCTCACCAGGACTGCCTTTCCGCCAAGCCCCGCTCTGAAACGGATTGTGTTAGTTCTGCCTGTTTAACTTGAAACCTGTCCAGAATGTCGTGATCATCCTGGAAACAGATAGGCTTGTTTTTATATCCGCCATGTTGACCCTGGGCACTTCATCCACAGGGGTTGCATTAGCATGCTGTTAGGTTCTCTAGGGGAGCCTGGCTGAGAAGAGGTGAGTGTTGGAGACCAGAGTCCTCGGTGCCACAACCCAGGGTTCAAACTCAAGCTCCGCCACGTGCTTCATTATATGATGCTGTTCCCCATCAATTAAATCATTTGATATTAACATATATTCTCAGATAGGTGTGCTAAAATGGTAGTTATAATTTAGACCTCACACAGAGTAGCCAGTGTATATCAGGCATTCAATAAACATTCATTATTACTCTTATAAAATTAGTCATGGCCTAGATAGACCTCTGAGTACATTTTTAAAAGACTGGTCACTTTTGCATGCTTCTCTAATGAGAGTTATTGAAAGACAGGTGTTATTGATATTAAGTGTGTGGCTGGGCCCTGGAATGCCCTGTCCACTGGTCCACAGAAGATGCCTAAGGGAGCTGTATTTTGGGATCCATGATTCGGGGAAACTTGCTGATTTTTCACCAGGTCTGGGCTCAGTCCTCAAGTGCAGGGCATTCTGATGAGCTGGACTCCGTCATTTCTCAGTTCAGTTTGACTACTCAAGCACGTCCATCTGAGGCGTATAACCCAGGGAGCAGCAGACATGTGGGGGGATGAACTGCCTTCCAGTACCTCATACTCAGCTGCCTCTGCAAAGGAAATGTGCCCTGGGTCAGCTCCTCACTGCAGCCCCAAGTAGTATAGATGAAGCTACTTGCTAGATACTTTGTACAAGCATCTGTAGGGAGAAAAGAAACTGTGGCCTCTTGAGCGTTAATCTCACATACCTTTGGATGTGTACTTGTTCAACCGGCAGAAGTTGCATCAGACAGAACTATGACAGCCCTGCTCCCTTGGCACTTCCGTTCCTACTGCTCCTCCAGTGCCAGTAAAGGGAAGCAGTGTTTTATAAAAAGCACTGTATTTTCTCCTCTATCCCTAAAATATAGTCTTTTTTTTTAATAAAAAATATTACCATGGTATTTTACTATGACGGTCTAATGACCTGTTTGACCCCCTGGACCTACACAAAGATGGAAGGAGAAAACCAATTCTACAGAGTCCACTGACATACATGGACACTCGCACACATTTTTTAAATTTTTGTAATCATCACTGTAACATTCTGAATATGATTTTCCTTTTTTGCTTTTTTTGTAAAGTCTTATAGAGTACAGAACAGTTTCTCAGTGGGGTACAGCAGCTTGTAATGTGGCATCTGTATGGTACACACATCTATTTTATGTGCACATCTAGATAAACCTCCAAGAACAGTCTTAGTAATGCCTCAGAAGAGGCTCTGTTGCCACTCAACCTCATTGGTGTCACCTGAAGAAGGAGGTAACATGTAGCACACTCTCCTGTCCCACTGAGCCTCCTTACAGTGGTACAGACTCTGTAATGCTGATCACACTTCATCAGCTACATTGAGAAACCAGAGACCATCTGACTTCTTTGCATTCACTCAGCAAACCTGTCCATGTGCCTACCAAAGGGCTGTTTGAAAACTATAAGTTCATGGTCACTAGTCTTGCAGTGACTATGTCTGTTTAACAGACATATGTCCCTCCCCCTCTCCCCCTCCCCCCTGGTTCCACTCCAACCTCAGAACTCACGACCTTTCCAGGTGTTCCTTTAGTGAGTTAGAGGAATCTGCCACACAAAGTCTCCAGGTGGGTTTCTTCCCATCATATTCCCTTAATGAATCCTGTGGTTGGGGCTCGGGGATGGGAGCTGGGGGTGGACCTTAGGACCAGTGGGCAGAGTCTGGCAGATGCTGCCCTCGAGGCCCCTGCAGACCACTGGTATCAGTTGCTATTGGGATGGGAAGATAAAATGCTGTTTCTTTTCTTTCAGCTTACGTTTTACTATGGTAAAACAGATGGCTGGTGTCCGGTAAAGTACTATGAAGACATGAAGAAAGATTTTCCAGAAGGCAATATTTACCTCTGTGAGAAAGGAATACCACATGCTTTTGTTCTTGGTTTTAGCCAGGAGATGGCTACCATAGTTGCTGACTGGATAAATAATTGACTGCCCGAAAAATAAGTACTGGCCCAAGGGAAAAAAAAAATCACCTACGGCCAATACATGGAAGCTGTAGGTGTGCTCTGCTTAGGGGTAAATGTTTAATCTTAATGCTTGAAAGAAAAATTGAGACCCTCTTGGCTTACAGATTACCAGCTCCCATACCCTGTGTTAAGACTAAAGTGAACCCAGCAGATGGCTCATTCCATAGGGGAGCAATGAGCAGAGGATGCTGACAGTGCACTTTCCCGGTTCAGGGGAAAACCACTTCAGATTTCATACAGGTCCTGGCTGAGATCATCGGCATGCTCTTCACGATCCACCTGCAGTCAACCAAAAATCAAGTCTGCCTGACTTTCATCAACTAACTAGGAGGAGTTGTTGAAGGATCCTGACTCTATTCTGCCACAGAATAGCCAACAGGCTGCTCCTGACCCCTGGAATGCCAGGGCCCTGCAGGCTCCTCTAGAGCAAGAAGGGAGGGATGTAGAGTCCACATCAGATTTGTTTCGGCGTGGGATTTCTCACTGGTGTGATTCCTCCATGGACAGGAAGCAGTGAGCCACCCATCCCACTCATGATGCCATTAGACCTTGTGACTCTTCCCTCCGGAAAATCTTCTAGAACATAATTTTTTGGAAAGGTGTTTTAAATCATTGAGTAAAACATTAGCATAAGTTCATTCCCCATTTGCCTAAACTTTATTGATCAGAAAGAAATGATTTTGCAAATGAACAGAATTCTGCAAGCCATTAAATTTGTATTACTTCACCTCTGAAAGCATCTAAGTCTTATTCCTGGCTGAGAAGCAGAGGAATGCTTCCTTCCTAACATACTGAACAGCTATGCTAACTTACCTTAATTGACTCAATCCTAAGATCTCGGAGGCCAATGAACCCGACTGTAGTGACCATTGAACAATTGGGAGCATTCCATTTTCTTGTAGAGAAAAGCTAACTCTCGTAGCAGTATAGTTCCTCAAGAGCAGTAAGATGGTCCTTCCTCTCAGAACCTAAGGTACTGATGAGAGCTTTGGTTCTGGCCTGCCACCAGCTCAGTGGTGAGAGAGGGATGAGTTCTCATTGCCCGGCATAGATTCTGCATTGGAGCTCAACTTCTCAGAGGGGAAAAGCCAAGCCCCAGACAAGGAGTGCTCTTAGTCCAGGCAGACACTGTGAGGGTCCTTACTGGTGTTGGCACATGGAGGCCTCCTGGAGAGCTGACCTGAGAAACCAGGCTTCATGCTCTGAGTGCCTTGTTTGTAGAACAGGCTTGATCAGTAGTGGGAATCAATGCACAAGTCCTGGGAAATCAGACCTACTAGAACAAAAGAATAGCATCCGTAGATCTCTTAGACATGACTTTACATTACTCTTTGTTTTAACCTGCTTAAAAGCCCTGACTTCTCATTCCTATTCATCACCTAAACACCAAATGATATTTTATAATAAATGTCTCACCCACAGTCACTGCTGTGTCTGGTCTGATTTCTGTGCTGTAGGCAAGGATACAGTATAAGCAGTTTGCCTGGGCTGAATTCAGTTATTAAAGGTGCTTCTGTCACTGCACTTTCGGAAAAGGGAAGAATCAGGTTTTAGAACAGTGAGTCCTTGAGAATTACATAGAGGGTCTGGAAAGGTGGCTCAATGGTTAAGAGTACTAGCTATTCTTCCTGAGGACTGGACCCACACCCCAATTCCTAGAACCCACATTTCAGCTCACAACAGTCTAACTCCTGTCTCAGAGGCTCTGACACGCTCTTCTGGCCTTCCCAGGCACCAGACACGTGCTTTGAGACCATCTTGAGCTATATGGCAAGACCCTGCCTCAAACATAAGAAGAGATGGCAAAAAAACAAAAATAGATAAGGAATGGCTGAGATCCGTTGTCCAGGAGCTTTGTCTTAAGTTCCAGTTAAGCACATGATGGTCCCTATGATCTTCAGAGTGCTTATTATAAAGCTGTCTGATGATGGGTGAAAAGCATTAGAACCATGATCCAGGCCCGTGGTGATTCCTAGTCTGTCTTAAGCCGTGAAAGAAGCTCCAGGGGCGGCTCATGTGGGCTCATGTCTGAGGTCCTTTCACTACTTCAGTCAACCACTCAACCCTTGGACAACCCCATACCTTGGTGCTTTGGTTTTCCCTCATACCTTATGAAAGCTGCCACAATTCAGATTAATTAAGACTAAAGGGGCTTGACAAACTAGTACAACACCTGACTCTAGATTGAATGCTTTTATTATAAAATGAACTGGGGGATGATTTGGATGGTGCCTAAAGATGGCAGTGTTAATTTTATGGCTTCAGTGACTGTACTGTGGAAACCTAGAGAACACCTGTTTTATACTAAGAAAGCCAGGACACACCTAGAGACTGTGGTGCCTCCTGATAGCTTTCTCACAAATTACCAGAGAATACTTTCCTCTGGATCTACCAGTTTTTTGGAGCTTTGCAATACTTCAAGGATATATAAAATATTTTTCAACACAGAAAGCTTTCCCCCACACCTGTCATTGTTTGCTAGACAGTAGATTTCTTCTAGGCAGTAAAGGGTGAACTGAGTTTAAATCCCAGATCTTTTGTTTCTATCTTTACAATCCTATGGAAGATTTCATCCCAGCCAGGCAGTGGTGGCATACATCTTTGACCCCAACACTAGTGAGAAGTGCCCATATCTCTGTGACTTCAAGGACAGCCTGGTCTACAGAGAAACCCTGTCTCCAAAAGGATTCCATCCCTCCCTGAGCCTCCTAACTGCTCACCTATGGAGCTGGGATGATACCAGCACTTGCCTGGTTGGGGTTTTTGTTGTTGTTGTTGTTGTTTGTTGGTTTGCTTGGGGAGATCAAAGGTGTCTTGTTTATTATAAAATAATGAGTTCATGCATATGGCAGTCAGCAAAGTGTTTGGCCAGCCTTCTGTAACAGCTCCTAAAGGGAGAAACTGGCAACCTCCTTCAGTCTCCTCAGTGAAGTAGAAGTACTTGTGCTGTCACCCAGGATGTAAGGATGGATGCTTGTGGTCTCCAAGCTTCCAGACCCTACTCCTATTCATATGTGACATGCTAACCTGGCTCAGCCTTCTGACCTTGGATCATGCAGCTCCACACACACAGCCTACGATGCTCTCAGAGTGGGCTTAGAAAAGATGCCGGAAACAGCATTTCTCAGAAAATATGAGACATCTCTGTTCCTGGTCCCCTCCTGGGCACAGAAGAGAGGATAGACTTGGACTCCTCCACTTAGGGGGTGGGGCTTAAGGAGAGGTCAAAGGTTAGGGCTAAGCATGCTCTGTGAATAAGTACTTCTCCATGGATGTGAGCAAAGTTCTTCTAATGAGGACAGAAAAGCTCTTGTGTGTGTCCCTGGGACTTTCTCACAGGCTGTGACTCCTGTCTATGCCCCATAGATGGAGGTAAGTGATCACACTGGTCCAGGTGGGGAGTGGCTGTGAAGCATTAGTAGGGTCTCTGCCAGCCCCAGGTGACACCCTGGCAGCATGAGACACCCTAGCCATAGAGAACACGGTTATAGATCTGTGAAGCAAGGCTTCCTGGTGGAGAAGGGGAAGGCCTTTACTCATAAAGTGCAGGCAGGACTTGGATCAGTTTGGTATAAAGAGGGCAGGTTCAGGTAAGTTATCCCCTGTGCTGTCTCACATGCACATTCCCAGTCCTTGGAGGCTCTGACTTGCCTAGTGTTCAAATAACCTAAGGTACAAAGTACCCTGTGTCACTCAAAATGTCATAGCTGCTGGGGCTGGAAAGATGGCTCAGTGGGTAAGCACTCAACCACTCTTACAGGGGACCTGAGTTCGGTTCCCAGCACTCTTGTAGAGCTGCTCATGATGATCTACAGCTTCA